ATGACACCTTTAGATGTTGATAGTCTCTTAAGCCAGGGGTCTTGCTATAGGGGCAAGTATACTGGCTCTAGGTAATTGGAAAATAAAACTACTCTCACTTCCAGCATTCAGTCATGTAAACATTTATGGGAACTTAGAGGAAGATTAAGACAAATCATACAGAAACCACCCAAAAAAGTCCTGGTGCTGAGCCAGGAGATTGGAATGTTGAGGTTTATGTCAAATGGTTTAGGGATTCCTGAACTAGCTACTGAGGATAATGAAATAAAATGACATGGAAATATCCAAACAGAGAAAAGGTAGGCATACTTCTCTCATACCCACGGAAGCCATTAGTGTGAACACTGTGGGCTTAACTCAGCATCCATAGGAAGAAACCACCTACTGATGAGTTTAGACAGATTTCTCTGAAGTCAAGGGTCTGCACAAAGCCAGAAAATAAATCATACTGGACTCCTTCCAGAAGCCCCAGTGGTCTAAAAACAGGGATTCAGTAGAACTGACACCTACTCAGCTCTAGGATTTGGTTATCCTTTTGTTAGTGAGACTTCTTGCTCAACTATAGACCCCAACAGTTATATCACACTTTATTAGAACATTGACAATGAATGAAATATTTCAGTCCCTTTATCAGAAAAGCCCTGATAGCAATGGAATGCCTAGAAGACATCCCCCCATATCCCCTTCCTTTCTCATGATCAGGGGCTAAACATATACTGACCTCATCTGTGATCACATGCTTCCTGCCTTCTCTCCTGCATGTAACCCCCTAAACCTGTCCTAAAAAATTCTAGGTGTCCACCTTGCAAGCAGAGAGCTCAGTTGTTAAGGCTTGAGCCTACCAGTTCACACAGATATAGGCACCTGGAACTAAAATTTTCCCTCTTTTCTAAACCCTTATCTCTTGAGTTATTGTTTTCTCTTGCAATGAGTTTATCCAAGTTTGTTTAGCAATAATGTTGGCAAACCCAGCCAGGACCTATTCTTTCAATCTGTCCAGCCACCTCAGGGTTCTCTGGGACAGAGCAGTTGGCTCCATCAGTTCATTAGGGCTCACCCACTGATTTCCTGAGGTAATGGCTGTGATGCATGGTTTCTTACCAATCTTACAGAAGCAGCCAGTGAAAATACAATTAAAGGTTTATAATATTGGAGAGTCTATCAGTGTATTTCATGTGGAACAGTTCCTCTGATCAAGAAAGGCACTTTGCTTTTACTAATCTACAAAAGGGACCAAAGGAACATTGGATTATCTGGCTATATCACATTTCATATCACATTTGGAACAGTGGTCTCATTAAACACAGAAACAGAAATTCAATGTTACTTTAAATAGGCATGGAAAGAGGCATGAACATATGGCTAATATATTGGATAGATTTTTTTTTAAATTTTTTTTTTAACGTTTATTTATTTTTTTGGGACAGAGAGAGACAGAGCATGAACGGGGGAGGGGCAGAGAGAGAGGGAGACACAGAATCAGAAACAGGCTCCAGGCTCTGAGCCATCAGCCCAGAGCCCGACGCGGGGCTCGAACTCACGGACCGCGAGATCGTGACCTGGCTAAGTTGGACGCTCAACCGACTGCGCCACCCAGGCGCCCCAAGGATAGATATATTTTTCACGTGGATATGAAAGAGAGCCAAGGAGATACTCCACAGGAAACATTTCTTAGAACCAGAGGTGGGACTAAGGAAATGGGCAGACTGCAGTTCCCCAGCTTTATATCTTTATATCTTCTGTTTTGATAGACCCAGTTATGCTTATAATAATGCCAGGCATAAGTGTAATATACAGTAAAAGGTAGCTATGTGTTTGTGATTGACCTTTTTTAATACTCTTCAAGTAATTTTTCATTTTGGAACATTCCAGACCTGATAGTGGTTTTATAGTCCTCTGCTTAACTGTTGTTGATAGTAAAACATGTCAATTTCTATAAGTGTGCAATGCCATAAAAAGTTTTCTCTGTTGTCATTCAGGGGAAACAACATGGCATCTTTAATAATTCCCATTGGTATTTTCATCAGTTGGGTATTGTTAGGTCTCAAAATACATCACATCTATATTACTACCCTCTCAATATATATGACTCTTTATGGAGAAAATAGAGAAAATATTAACATTTGTCATTATTTTAGGGAAATACTATTATTTTTGGAAAGAGAACCTCTCCAGGTTTCAATGTGTCTGACTCAAGTAATGCTCTGAAACACTGTAAAACTGGTAAGTTGTAGGGGAAGCTTTAACATACATTAAAAAATATAGAACCATTTCTAGATACTGAGTTTCAATCCCGTTGTTCATAGGTAGAGTCAAATGTGAAAAGTTTTTTAGGTGAACACCATTATAACATTAGAGAATTCTAGAAGGCATTATCATTCTAGTTGTCATACAAATACAGCATATTTTCCTTATAAGTGTGACAGTATGGGGCAAATTAAATAATTGAGTACACTTTGATATACTTCAAGTGATACTATTTTCCATTTATTAAAGAATTTTCATATCAAACTTCATAATGTCCATATCATTACTAATATACATTTGAGAGCATTTCCAATCCATGCCAAATGGTGACGCCTCAAGAAGTAGGTAGCTGAATGAAATCTTTGCTTTTTTTCTTTTTTCCAAAGAAATGTGTTATTCCCTGTGCTTATAAACCTACTACACCTAACACTTCAATTTATCCTGTTCTGTTAAGCAAACAAACAACAAATATCAGCTCAGATGACTAGTATCATGTGGACAAGAATATGACTTTTGGCAAAACTAAGCCATAATAGATTTTATTTCATATTCTTCTGTGTTAAGATTACAAAACTTTTTAAACATTCATTTTAATGGAATAAATTACTCATATATTCTCAAGTAGTTTGACAGATTGTGCTCTGTAGATCAAGCAACTTGTAGATCAATCACAATTTGTCTTTTTTCTTCGTAATATGATGCCTGTGATCTGTGATTAAATTTCTACTTCTAATACTCAGCTCAACTATATTTTCTGCACGGTGAGTCTGTGTCTTAGAATTAAGAATCAAATGTTGATTTCATTTGTTTTTTATAAAATGCTGTTGATATATCTTTCTCCTCAGCCATTTTAGAACAGTTTGAAAGTTGTTTACAGTAAGAAGAAAGCTAAAGAACTTTGTTTCTATGGGAAGGGGGGATGCTGGGCAGATAATCAAAATGATTCCCTTGAAAACATAAAATTTTTCTTTTTACTCTGTCACCCCTTGCCTCTTCTACACTTGTAGGGAGTGTGTGGGAGAATGTGTATGCATGTGTGTCTATGTCTATGGTTTAGAGTAAAAACTAATATGTAAAAATGTGCTTTAAACAAATATTACAGATTGGTGCAAGTTACACTATCAAAGCAGAAAAAAACATAAAAAGTAGAAAAATTCTTTGACTTTGAATAAACCTATCTTTTCTACAGTTATCACTAATGCATTATTCCAAAGTTTTTCTCTTTAAATATCTGTCAGCTTTCACTCACTTCATCAACATCTCTATTGATGACCCTTGTAACATCTATTATGGAGAATATAAGAATAATTGATCTATTTTCAAGGAGCTTAAAAGTGATCTGGGGAAAGAAGAATCACAACACCAAAAATGAGAGACCTTGGGTTAGAACAAATTTCCATAGCTCTTATTCTAGTGTTCCTTCAATTTCAGAATATTTACACCTAATGCACATGGTATACCTAGTGAATAAGTAAATGGTAGAGCACATGAAATGGACCGTAAATACACTGGAAATTGGTATGGGTTTTATAAAAGAGAGGCCTCAAGGTGTCCTGAAGGATATGGCTATATGGACAGGATTTGTCTACCCAAAAAGAAGAAAACATGTACGGATAGAAAAAAGAAATGGACGGGGAATACAGAAAACCACAAATTTGTTTTTTTACCAAAACAGAAGTTGTATTTTGGCACTATAAGAAAACAATACTGGATATTTAGAGTACATGAGAGGCTGATTGTGAAGGACTAGGTGAACTTGGGTATTGATAAGGGAGTTAGGTAATTGTTGTTTTTTTAAGGAGACACTGATAGGATGAAAACAGAATTCTTATGAGTAATGTTCAATTCCTAAAAGTAAACTATATTTGTGGGGTAATTACATTATGCATCATCAATAAAATGCAATTTTATATAGCCATAAAATGATTTGGATTTTCATGTGCTCTTAGAAATGTATTTTTAATGTATTGATAAACCCAAGGAAAATAACTATACATGTGAACACTATTCTTTCAATAAATAGCATTGAACACTATGGTTTTAATAAAAAGCATATAAATGTAAACATATACTAGTGCCCACAACACACAAAGAACACACACACACACACACTGTACTAATGTGTATATTACTATTCTCAGAGGATATCCAGGAAATAGATTGTTTACCCAGGAAATAGATTGTTATATCCTGCTGCTCTGTGTACCATGTTTTCTTTTCCATTCACATAAGCTACTTTGATCCTTTTCAAAAATAAATTAGGGAAAAATACGTACTTCTAACAATTTTATTGGAATGGTTATTCTGTTTCTGTTTAAAAATGCTTCAACATCCAATTTGACATTTAAAAGTAAATATGCTTAAAATTCCTAATTTACATGGATTTTGCTTTAACACTGATTTTAATGTAGATCCTGAATATTCATATATGTTTTATTCATTCATTCACTCCTTCAATAAATATTAGTAATATGCAAGAATGTGTATAAACTATTTCATGTATATTTGAAGTCTATCCTGTTCTCCTCAAATGCAGTTTTAAAAATGAGATTTCAAAAAGCGTAGTGTGGATATTTTAAATATTACCCATAAAACTGAAAGAAGATACAACTTTTCTAAACATGGAAATAACTTTATGTACTTAATGTGGCTTAGTACCAAATTTGTGTCAATCCAAGTTTCTCAGAGTAAGAACTTGGCCAGAGGATATGTCTATGTAGGAAAAATACATCCCCAGTTGGATAAATGTACCCATGGGATTGCCTCAGAGAAACAGAGTGTACAGCATTATGATGCTTCTTCCTTCTGTTTCTGATGATTGGGAGCATAAATTGCAGGAAATTGATGGCAATATGGGAAAAGGAGATGCAAGGCTATTCCTGGGATTCACATGAGGCACTTTCCTATGAAAGTATTTTCCCCGCTCTGGTAAAAAACAATGGCACAAAAGGAAGGCTTTAATTACTGCAGGAGCTTTTTAAGAACCTAGATAACGAGGAACTATTATGGTTGAAAATATTTTTTTAAGAACAAAGCCAACAAAACCAGTGTTGTTATAAGGATGGGCTGATGGGAAAGCTATGGTATAAATTTAGATGACTGTGTTGAAAGAATGGTATTTCTATTACCCACATCAGTCAGTTATCTCAATTACCTCATTTTATCGTTTTGAAGCTGTGATAAGTAAACACGCACAAGCTAACCAGTGGTCCTCTGTATAGCACTAAACAAATGAATGAACGAATACACACTGAAAAGAAAATAAATTCAGTTCCATTTGGCTGGGGACTTTCTACATCCTTGGTATATCCTGCTTAAAATTACAGAAGAGGCATTTGAGGTGAATAATGTTAAATTTTGAGTGAATGAATTATATTTGCCATATATATATTATGTATACATATGTAAATTCATGGTTTGACTCTACTAATGTGCAGTGACCATCGCTGGTATTAGCATAAGCTGTGAGGGATTCATGCAAGAATGGAGCAGGAAAGAGAAGATGTGCTTTTCTTCAGGACCTAAAAACTAATAAGGAAGACTTAATTTAAGACATTAATTAATTGTTCTTTACCAGAATCTCTTTCAAAGTATGGGTCTCTAGAATCCTTGCTATATTTTCTACATTTATCATTTCCAGGTTAAGAAACTCAATAATATTCTGTGAATGTGGAACCCACCATGATCCTTATCTTATTTATTGAGATCTTTATAGCACAAAGAGGCATTCAATATAATGGAGTTTGATTTTTTGTTTGTTTGTTTACTGACGAGGAAACATAACCCTCAAAAGGAGATACTCGTCATATGTTGCCCAATGAGTAACTCAGCTAGGTGTCGTATTGAGGCTTTGGAATCCAAGTTCACAGTCTATATGATTGTGATTTCATGTGCTGTTTTTATTTTTGTCTTTCAGAAATGTATAGTCTGAATTCTTCTTACTGTTTGGAATGCTGCTCTGGGCCATTTATAATATCACTGACCAATAAAATTTCCCAAAAGTGGGAGGTGCTTTAAGTTCACCTGTCTGAGTATTAAAATTAGACAACAACATGAACCATCCTTTGTGTAAACACAACTTTTCTGCCCACAATTCTTACTCATTTTGATTATGATGACATAAAGCTGATAACATGGAAAGGGTGAACCATTCAGTGGTGTCTGAGTTCATTTTGCTGGGACTTTCCAAATCTCAGAATCTTCAGATTTTATTCTTCCTAGGATTCTCTATGGTCTATGCTGGGATTGTGTTAGGAAACCTCCTCATCTTGGTCACCGTGACCTTTGACTCACGCCTTCACACACCAATGTATTTTCTGCTTATCAACCTCTCCTGTATTGATATGATCCTGGCTTCTTTTGCTACCCCTAAGATGATTGTGGATTTCCTCCGAAAGCAGAAGACCATCTCTTGGTGGGGATGTTATTCTCAGATGTTCTTCATGCACCTCCTAGGTGGGAGTGAGATGATGTTGCTTGTAGCCATGGCAATAGACAGGTACGTTGCCATATGCAAACCCCTCCATTACATGTCCATCATGAACCCCCGAGTGCTTGGTGGGCTGCTGCTATCCTCCTACACAGTTGGATTTGTGCACTCATCTAGTCAAATGGCTTTCATGTTGAATTTGCCCTTCTGCGGTCCCAACGTGGTGGACAGCTTCTTCTGTGACCTTCCCCTTGTGATCAAACTCGCCTGCAAGGATACCTACATGCTACAACTGCTGGTCATTGCTGACAGTGGCCTCCTGTCCCTGGTCTGCTTCCTCCTCTTGCTTGTCTCCTACACGGTCATCATACACTCGGTCAGGCACCGTGCTGCTAGTGGTTCCGCCAAGGCCTTCTCCACTCTCTCGGCACACATCACGGTTGTGACTCTCTTCTTTGCCCCATGTGTCTTTATCTATGTATGGCCCTTCAGCAGATACTCTGTAGATAAAATTCTTTCTGTGTTTTATACAATTTTCACACCTCTCTTAAATCCTATTATTTATACATTAAGGAATCAAGAAGTAAAAGCAGCCATTAAGAAGATAAGAACTCGACATATAAATTCAAAACCCACTTTGTAGATGATGCTTCCAAAGAGGCAATCTTTTGTTGTGGACATTATTAAGGAATAAACTTTTAATGTATTTCAAGTTCTGTATAAGGAAACAGTAGATGTAATTGTTAGATAGGAAACCCCTCTTCTGTCATCATCAATGGTTAAAGCATGACATCTCCATTCTGGAAGACATGCATTTAAATCCTCTGTTCACTGGGGCACCTGGGTTGCTCAGTGGGTTAAGGGTCTGATTCTTGATTTCGGCTCAGGTCGTAATCTCACTGTTTGTGAGATGGAGCCCTACTTTGGGCTTTTTGCTGATAGTGCAGAGTCTGCTTGGGAGTCTCGTTTTCTCCCTCTCTGCTCCTCCCCCACTCATGCTCTCTCCTTTCTCTCTCTCTCAAAATAAATAAATGAACTTAAAAAAAATCTTCTCTTCACTACTGTTTCTAATGCAAATTTGAAAAAATGAATAAATTATCTACTTAGCTTCTCTATCTATAAAAACTTCTTTATACATTTCTTTTATAATTTTGGCATGTTTTTAAAGTTTATTTATGTATTTTAAGACAGAGAGAGAGAGAAAGGGAATGAGTGGGGAAAAGGCAGAGAGAGAAAGAGAGAGAATCCCAAGAGGTTCCACAATGTCAGTTCAGAGTCTAACTCCGGACTCAAAATCACGAACTTTGAGATCATGACCTTGGTAGAAATCAGGAGTTAGATGCTTAACAGACTGAGCCACCCTGGCACCCGAGTGTGTTTTTAATCTTTACAAAATACATTATTAGTGTTGCTATTATACTTGTAGTTTTTGTTGGGAATCTGTACGTGGAAAATGCACACAGATGATGCCTCACATTGCTATTTAGCTGAGTGCCTGGGTAACTGCTCTTTGGTGCTGGAAAAGTACATTTAGTACATAATCCCTACTTAATGTGTATTAACTTTATTACTGAGTGCCCCAGACACAGTGCCTCCAACCATCCTTCACATATGTTGTGAGCACAGTGTGCCAGAAGGCTCATCTAGGGTTTCAGAAAGTTTACAGCCCATGGATGGAAAGAGTGAACTAAATTTGCAGTTCTGCTGTGGCATGAACAGTACTATGGTACATGGTTGTAAGTCCAAAACAAATTTTTCAGTAATAACACCAATATTTGTCTCTTCTTTTTTTCTGAGTCCGCTGATAAATTGATTCATGGGGCCTACATGGGGTAGGGGTGATTGATACCCCTGAAAAGTCTATAATCAATTCTTTGTACCAGTATCAAGCTTTTTTGTTTTTAAATACGGTTTACAAATAGAAGAAAAAAATCACTGTCTTTAGTATACAATTTTGTGAGTTTTGACAAATGCATAGCCATGTAACGACACAATGAGGTTATAGGAAAATGTCCTCAACCCTCAAATTCCCCTGTGCCCCTTTGTGGTCTATTCTTCTCTCCTAACTTCTGGCTCTGATAATAGGATCTGTTTTTTTGTACCTAGGTTGCCTTTTCTAGACTGTCATGTAAGTGAACTCATATAGTAAATGGCCTTTTTAAAATGTTTTTGTTGGGGCGCCTGGGTGGAGCAGTCGGTTACGCGTCTGACTTCAGCCAGGTCACAATCTCGCAGTCCATGAGTTCCAGCACCGCGTCAGGCTCTGGGCTCATGGCTCGGAGCCTGGAGCCTGTTTCCGATTCTGTGTCTCCCTCTCTCTCTGCCCCTCCCCCGTTCATGCTCTGTCTCTCTCTGTCCCAAAAATAAATAAACGTTGGGAAAAAAAATTAAAAAAAAAAAAAAATAAAATGTTTTTGTTTTATTTCCAGTTAGTTAGCATATAGCATAATATTAGTTTCAGGTGTACAATATGGTGACCCAACACTTCCACACAATACCTTGTGCTCATCACAAGTGCCCTCCTTAATCCCCATCACCTATTTAATCCATCCTCCCACCTACCTCCCCTCTGGTAACCATCAGTTTGTTCTCCATAGTTCAGAGTCTATTTCTTAGTTTGCCTCTTTTTTCCCCCATGCTTGTTTGTTTCGCTTCTTTAATTTCACGTATGAGTGAAATCAGATGGTGTTTGTCTTCCTCTGACTGATTTATTTCTCTTAGCATAATACTCTCTAGCTCCACCCACATCCTTGCAAATGGCACAATTTCATTATTTTTTATGGCTGAGTGATATTCCATTGTATGTATACACCATGTCATTTTTTTCCCTCCAGATATGTGGTTAGAGTTAGGGTCAGGATTAGGACCAGGGTGACAGTATGTTCCTGGTATCCTGCAGTTCAGAGATTTCTCCAGAGGGTTAGGTTAGGGTTAGGTTTAGTGTTGGGGATTAGGGGCTTGGGGGAGTTATCATTCAGGTAATCGTTAGGTTTAAAGTTAAGGGTAAGGTTAAGTTTAAGGTTAAGTTTAAGGTTAAGTTTAAGGGTAAGGTTAAGGGTAAGGTTAAGTTTAAGGTTAAGGTTAAAGTAAGGTTAGGATTAAGGTATGTTCCTGGTGTCCTGCAGATCAGAGACTTCTGCACAGAATAAAACCCCAGATTTCTGCTGGGGTGAGAATAGACATGGCAGCCATCCACTGAGCTGGGCAAGGAGGACATTTGTGGCTGTAAATACTCTTTTGTTATTGTTGTTTCTAAGTTTTTATTTAAATTCTAGTCAGTTAACATACAGTATAATATTAAATTCAAGTGTACAATATAGTGATTCAACGTTTTGATACAACACTTGTTCAGCACAAGTGCACTCCTTAATCCCCATCACCTATTTGATCCATCCCCCCACCTCTCCCTTGGTAACCATCAGTTTATTCTCTATAGATAGGAGTCTGTTTCTTGGTTTGCCTCTCTCTTTTTTTCCCTTTGCTCATTTGTTTTGTTCCTAAATTTTACACATGAGTGAAATCATATAGCATTTGTCTTTCTCTAATTTATTTTACTTAGCAAAATACTCTCACTCTATCCATGTCATTGCAAATGTCAAGATTCCATTCTTTTTTATGGCTGAATAATATTCCATTGTATATATCTAACACTTCTTCTTTATCCTTCACCAGTTGATGGACATTTGGGCTATTTCCATAATTTGGCTATCATAAATAACGCTGCTGTAAACATTGGGGTGTATCTTTACCTTTGAAATAGTGTTTTTGTATCCTTTGGGTAAATACCTAGTAGTATGATTGATTGCTGGATCCTAAGGTAGTTCTATTTTTAACTGCTTAAGGAACTTCCATGTTGTCTTCCAGAGTGGCTGCACCAGTTTACATTCCCACCAACAGTGCAAGAGGAATGGTTCCCCTTTCTCTGCATCCTCACCAGCACCTAATATTTCCTGTACTATTGATTTTAGTCGTTCTGACAGGTGTGAGGTGGTATCACGTTGCAGTTTTGATTTGCATTTCCGTGTTGATGAGTGATGTTGAACATCTTTTCCTGTGTCTGTTAGCCATATGCAGGGCTTCTTTGGAAAAATGTCTATTCATGTCTTCTGCCCATTTTGTAATTGGATCATTAGCTTTTCTGGTGTTGAGTTGTAGAAATTCTTTATATATTTTGGTTACTAACTTTATCCAATATGTCATTTGCAAATATCTTCTCCCATTCCATAGGTTGCCCTTTAGTTTGTGCACAGTAAGTAGCCTTTTAAGCATGACTTCTTTCATTCAACATAATGCCTTTGAGATTCCTTCCAGAGCAAGTTGTTTTAATTATTATAAATCTATGGTACATTTTAATATCTATTAAATAAGTATCCTCATTGCTATCCTTCCTCAAATTGTCTTGAAACCAGTTCAGTTATTTATTAGTATGAACTAGAATGATTTTATCAAATGACATGAATACTTAGTAATTATAATTGTGTTAATCTTATACATTGATTTAGGGAAAAATATGATATTGACAATATTGGTCTTTTTAATCCTACACATGGTTTATTTCTGTACTTTTAAGGCCTTCTTTTGTATCTCCCAGTAAAGTTTTATAACTTTCTTCATTAAATACTGAAAATATTAATGTTACGAATTATTTTATTTTAATGTTTATGAGGTCATTTTAAAAAATGTTTATTTAAAAAAATTTTTAATGTTTATTCATTTTTTGATAGAGACAGAGCGTGAGTGGGGGACGGGCAGAAAGAGAGGGAGACACAGAATCTGAAGCAGGCTCCAGGCTCCGAACTGACAGCACAGAGCCCGATGTGGGGCTCGAACTCATGGACTGTGAGATCATGACCTGAGCTGAAGTCAGACACTCAACCGACTGAGCCACCCAGGCACCCCACCAAAAATGTTTATTTTAAGAGAGAAAGAGAGAAGGGGGTAAGGGCAGAGACAGATGGATAGAGAAAATCCCAAGCAGGCTCCACGCTGTCAGTGCAGAGCCGGATGTAGGGCTTGATCCCACCAACCGTGAGATCATGGACTGAGCCAAAATCAAGAGTCAAATGCTCAACCGACTGAGCCACCCAGGTGCCCCAAGGTCATTTTTAACTGTCACTTTTTGATAATTCTGTAATGAAGAAAATGTGTAGTTTTATATAGTTATGTGTGTATATATATATATATATACATATATATATATATATAGTTTTATATATATATTTACTTGAAATTAGCCACCTACCTGAACACTAAATAATTGACATTTTTAGTCGATTTTCTTGGGCTTAGAATATAATGTTTCAACTATGATAATCTTATGTTTTCCTATTATTTTCTAATATCTTATTTCATATTTTAGCTCATGACATTCTAAGACTTAATACTTTTTCTGAAATTTTTCTTGAATTCCAATGAACACTATATATATACATATATATATGTCATAAATGTTCTGAGATATGTATGGAGAACTACTGATTTTAATATGTGTATACAATATGATGAAAATGTTATACATTTTTATAAAATAACATATTTGGGATGATAAAAACTAACATTTGCACTTCGCCTATTTGACATAGAAAAATTTACTAATTTCAGGCTATTGTCAACATTTCCAGTGGGTATAAATAAATCTTTTTT